AAAGCCGGAAGTGGCGCTGTGGCTCAAGTGGTAGAGTGTTAGCCTTGAGCTGAAGAGCTGAGGGACAGCGCCCAGGCCCAGAGTTCAGGCCCCACAACCAGACCCAAAAAAAAAATGTCTAAATATGAAATGAACTGCTTCCTGAGTGTTTTCATATCCTTCTCTACTGGGTACTGATGTATATAACATATTGTTTCCTCAGATAAATGCATCCTTGTACTTATTCTCCAGCTATCCATTTACATAGTTCTCTGTCTTCTCCACAGCTGTGTTCATGTAGCCCTCCAGACAAGCCAGGACCCCTCAATAATCTACTCTAGAATTTAATTTTACTATGTGTCCATCTGATAATTAGCATTAAGAAGTCATTAGAGGTTTGCTTCTGTAGACTCATTTTTTTTCCCCTCAGTTTTGGGCTTGAACTCAGGGCCTGGGTGCTGTCCCTGAGCCTCTTTGTGCACCAGGCTAGCACTCTACCACTTGAGCCACTTCTGGCTTTTTCTGGGCCATCCTGCCTGGGCTGGCTTTGAACTGCAATCTTCAGCTCTCAGTCTTCTGAGTAGCTAGGATTTACAGGTGTGAGCCACCTGTGCCCAGCTTTGTAGACTCATTTTAACAATCTTGGAAGGCAGGAAACCTGAGCTCTAACCCCAGCTCTTCTACTTAATTAGCTGTGTGACTCAAGTTCATCATTTCATCTCTCATGGCCCCAGGTTCATCTCACTCCCGATCCAAACCTGCACATCAGGCAACTCTTATATCTAATGCACCAAAAGCTGAATCCTGGGGACTCCTACAGGGGCCTACAAGGTTTTGTGGGGTCTGGTCCCCAAACTTGATGAGCCTCAGCTGTGCCTTGCCTTCTTTTGCTCCCCACCTTTCATTTGCCTGGGCCTTCTTTCAGACTTGCTTTCACCATCTCGCTCCCACCAGGGGGCTTCTACACATCTGCTCTCTTCTACCTAGGACCTTCTTCATTTTTATCTTCGTCACCCAGCTTTTCAGGTCCCCACTTCTGTCACTTTCTTGCTATACTCAACTCTTCTAACTGAAGGTTTCTGTATTCTGACTTAAGGCTTCTGAGTAAAGGTGTATCTGTACTGCAGTTTTACATGTGCTGGTATGCCTATCCCCTCCAAACTGTCAACTCTGTGAAGACAAAGCTGTCTCTGCTACCATTGATTTCTCATGCCCTAATGCTAGACTAACAAGTGTTTAAGTATGTATTGAATTAGAAAGGTGGGAAGACATTAAATTTTGGACTGAAGCCC